CCAACGGCTGCTGTTTGCACTTCCCATCGGCCCGCCGACGCGGCGATTAGTGTTATGAGTGACGCCAGGTCCCCCGTCCTAGCGTCCGCACACACTGACGAACACTTCCCTTCCCCATGTCGCCGAACCCCCCCCCCTCTCTCCCCACTCTCTCTCTCTCTTTCCTCTCCCTCCCTCTCTCTCTCTCCTCTCTCTCTCCCTCACTTTCCTCCCCGTCCGACGTCCGACTACGGGACGGACGGGCCCGTCCCACGGTCCCTCTCTTGTTTGTCGGTTTTCTGGGGCTGTAGCTTTATTACCGCAACGGCCGTCCAGAACCAATAGCACCACCGTGGCCACAGACCACCCTCACATCCACTTTCGCGTTTGACGAGCGTAAGACGGCGATAGTTGAAATTGACGTGTTTGACTGGCACCGCCATTGCGTCCTTTTTATTGACACCATCCGAGGCCGTGCTGCTGTCGATATGCATGGACCAGTGGACGTCATGCTGCTGGTGGCCTGGTGCCTGGTGCAAAACAGGGGCGCCAGGTGTCCTTAGGGTGTGTTATTCCCCAGCGACGGCAAAGTCCAAGTCGGCGCGGAGCCAAGCGTCTAAAGTCGACGCGGAGCCAAGCGTCTATGTGCGCCTGTTCGGCGATGGCCGCGCTGAGCGGCCGCAGTTCTATGCACACAGCATTGGTTAATGGTTTGCCCATCTCCTTATTCACTACCGCTTATAATTGCCATTGTTCCATAAATTTTTAATGGGTCAACATGGTTCAGGCATGTGGATGTGCCTCACCGATACGGTTCAGGCGTACCGGGCGTATAAATGAGCCCACATGGTTCACGCATGCGTGGCTTGGTGCTGCGTCGATATGGTTCACGCATACCTGACGAACAGCGAGATTGTAATGAGCAACATGGTTCAGGCATGTTGAATTGCCTCTCCGATACGGTTCAGGCGTAACTGGCGCATAGTTAAATGAGCCCACATGGTTCACGCATTTGTGGCTTGGTTCTGCTTCGATATGGTTCACGCATACCTGACGAACAGCGAGTTTTGTAATGGGTCAACATGGTTCAGGCATGTTGAAGTGTCTCACCGAAACGGTTCAGGTGGGTTCAGGCGTACCGGGCGCATAAATGAGCCCACATGGGTTCACGCATGTGTGGCTTGGTGCTGCGTCGATATGGTTCACGCATACCTGACGAACAGCGAGTTTTTAATGGATCAACATGGTTCAGGCATATTGAATTGTCTCCCCGATACGGTTCAGGCGTAACTGGCGCATAAATGAGCCCACATGGTGCACGCATGTGTGGCTTGGTGCTGCGTCGATACGTCGATATGGTTCAGACATACCTGGCGAACAGCGAGTTTTACTGTGTCAACATGATTCAGGCATGTTGAATTGCCGCACCAATACGCGTGTCAGAATACCGGACGCGTAGATGAGCCCAGATGGTTCAGGCATGTGTGGCTTGGAGCCGCGTCGATATGGTTCATGCATACTTTACGAACAGCTAATTTAACTGTCAACATGGTTCATGCATGTTGAATCGCCTCACCGATACGGGTCAGAGAACCGGGCGCGGAATCCAGCCGCCCACATGATGCAGGCATTTTTGGCTGAGGGCCGCGTAGATATGATTCAGACATCACGACGAACAACGCAGTTAACTGTCAACATGATTCATGCATGTTGAATTGCCGCACCGCTACTGGTCAGGCGTACCGAGCGCCTAAATGAGCCCACATGATTCAGGCATGTCATGTGGCTGGGGGCGGCGTCGATATGGTTCATGCATACCTGACGCACAACGGATTAAACTGTGTCAACATGAGTCATGCATGTTGAATCGCCGCACCGATGCGTGTTAGAATACCGGGCGCATAAATGGGCCCGCATGATTCAGGCATGTTTGTTTGGGAGCTGTGTCGATATGGTTTAGACGTACCTGACGCACGACGGATTTAACTGTCAACATGATTCATGCATGTTGAATCGCCTCATCGATACGGGTCAAAGAACCGGCGTATGTGAGCCCACATGATTCAAGCGTGTGTGGCTGGGAGCCACGTAGATATGGTTCAGGCATGCCTGACGGGCAACGAATTTAGCTGTGTCAACATGATCATGCATGCTGAATTTCCGTACCGATACGGATCAGAGAACCGGTGTGGGGAAGCCCACATGATTCGGGCGTGTGTGGCTGGGAGCCGCGTAGATATAGTTCAGGCATACTTGACAAACAACGAATTTAGCTGTGTCAACATGATTCATGCATGTTGTATTGCCGCGCCGATACGTGTCAGAATACCGTGCACATAGATGAGCCCACATAATTCAGGCATGTGTGGCTGGGAGCCGCGTCGATGTGGCCTCACGCCGATATGTTTCGGCATACCGGTTGCATGAATGATCCCACGTAATTCAAGCGCGTGTGTCTGGTAGCCGCGTCGGTACGGTTCAGGCATACCTGACGAATAGCGAATTCTAACTGGGTGAACATGATTCATGCATATTTGGCCAATCGATTCTTCACGCCGATAAGGTTCAGGCAAAACGGGGTACGGTTCAGGCATACCTGACGAGCAGCAAATTTAACTGGGTCAAACTGGGTCATGCGTGTTTGATAGATCACTTTCTCACGCCGATATGGGTCAGGCGGACTGGGCGCACAAATGAGCTCACGTGATTCGGGCGCGTGTGGCTTGTAAGCCGTGTCAGTACGGTTCAGTCATATCCGACGAACAGTGATTGAACTGGGTCAACATGGTTCATGCATGATCAATCGCTTCCTCGCGCCGATATGGGTCAGGCATTCCGGGCGCTTAAATGGGCGCTGCGTCCATTGTCCTCCCTGACTGCGTGAGGGGTTATCCTGTGCAAATAGCTCCCGACCGACTGCTTGAGTCGTGGGTCCCTTACCAGTGTTATCGGACAAAAGGTCAACCACTCGGCCCCACAGAGGTGACCCCTGCGTCCCTCCCGCGCCTTCCCCTCCCCCTCGTGAACTGGCGGTAGTTTTACACGCCGCGACGCCCGGCGGCGGTGTCACGACGTGACGTAACGGCTCTATTACTGCTGACGGCCGAGTGTTGGCCGCCCGACCGGTGGGCGCGCGCAGCGGAATGGGTGGGGGGAGCCCCGTCCGCGGAAGTACAGCTGGCACTCCCCGGCGGCCATCACAGCGACAATGCTTTGATGTGTGCATTTGTTCTGATGACGTCACCCGGCACCCAACGAATAGCGTCATTGGCTCCATCTTAGTCAGGCGGGGCGCCGCGTCGATATGGTTTAGACATACCTGACGAACAGCGAATTTAACTGACAACATGATTCATGCATGTTGAATCGCCGCATCGGTACGGTTCAGGCGTACCGGGCGCATAGATGAGCCCACATGGTTCAGGCGTTTGTGACTTGGCGCTGCGTCGATATGGTTCAGGCATATCTGACGAACAGCGACTTTTACTCTGTCAACATGAATCAGGCATGTTGCATTGCCGCACCGATACGGTGCAGGCGTACCCGGCGCATAAATGAGCCCACATGGTTCAGGCATGTGTGGCTTGGCGCTGCGTCGATATGGTTCAGGCATACCTGACGAACAGCGAGTTTTACTGTGTCAACATGATTCATGCATGTTGAATTGCCGCACCGATACGGTGCAGGCGTACCCGGCGCATAAATGAGCCCACATGGTTCAGGCATGTGTGACTTGGCGCTGCATCGATATGGTTCAGGCATATCTGGCGAAAAACGAGTTTTTCAGTGTCAATATGATTCATGCATGTTGAATTGCCGCACCGATACGGTGCAGGCGTACCCTGCGCATAAATGAGCCCACATGGTTCAGGCATGTGTGGCTTGGCGCTGCGTCGATATGGTTCAGGCATATCTGACGAACAGCGAGTTTTACTGTGTCAACATGATTCATGCATGTTGCATTGCCGCACCGATACGGTGCAGTCGTACCCGACGCATAAATGAGCCCACATGGTTCAGGCATGTGTGAATTGGCGCTGCGTCGATATGGTTCAGGCATATCTGATGAACAGCGAGTTTTAAACATTCACGCATGTTGCATTGCCGCACCGATACGGTGCAGGCGTACCCGGCGCATAAATGAGCCCACATGGTTCAGGCATGTGTGGCTTGGCGCTGTGTTGAGGCATATCTGACGAACAGCGAGTTTTACTGTGTCAACATGATTCATGCATGTTGAATTGCCGCACCGATACGGTGCAGTCGTACCCGGCGCATAAATGAGCCCACATGGTTCAGGCATGTGTGGCTTGAAACTGCGTCGATATGGTTCAGGCATATCTGACGAACAGCGAGTTTTACTGTGTCAACATGAATCAGGCATGTTGCATTGCCGCACCGATACGGTGCAAGCGTACCCGGCGCATAACTGAGCCCACATAGTTCAGGCGTGTGTGGCTTGGCGCTACGTCGATATGGTTCAGGCATATCTGACGTACAGCGAGTTTTACTGCGATATGGGTCAGGCAAACCGGTCGCCAAATGAACCCGTGTACCTGACGAACAGTGAATTTAACTGGGTCTACATGGTTCATGCATGTTGTTTGTTGCTGCTCTGCACCGGTATGGGTCAGGCATACCAGGCGCATTAATGAGCCCACACGATTCAGCCATGTGTATAAGCAGCGTCGGTACGGTTCTGTCGTACCTGACGAACAGCGGATTTAACTGGGTCAACATGGTTCAGACATGTTGGTTCTCCGCTCTGTGTTTTTGTGACATGGACGACGAGCCGGTATTCATACCCAGATGGAGCGGGTGGTATTGTATCAGTTATTCACTATCATTGACTCTGGACACACACATCTGCCATGTGCGTCTCTGCACAACGGTCTATCCCACTGGCATTGATTCGTTCACAACATCAGCATAATCCATTCGCTTGACTCTTCGGCGAGTCAGCCATGCAGGCAGCAGGCTCCTTATATGACTAGTATCGCTAGCACGCTAGCCTGACTTACCGGCCATGTCCGTCTCCCTTGGTCCCCCTCTGCTGAGCACCAGGTACTCTGTCGCTCCACAAACCTGTCTCCCGGCCTTGTCTACTTTTCCTGCTCGCTCGTTTTACAGCGCTTAGCTCGACGCTCGATTCCCACTCTCTCGCTTTGTCCGTCACCTCTGCGACCGCACAATCGTTTTCCACAGCCTGTCGCTTCGTTTCCACCCTTCCGCACTGTCCGCCGCCTCTGAGCGCGCGCCTTGGACTGCCCGACCTGTTTTGCGGCCTGTGTACTGTGCGTGTCTTATCTCGCCTCGGCCGAAGCCCGGTCCCCTCCCCCTGGACCCGGGTCGTCAACCGCGCCACGACTCGGGTCTCCTCCCACCCCTCTGCCCCTCCCTCCCTCCTCGTGCTGGCCATCCTCCGCTCCCTCTATTCGAGCCCCAAATCAAGCTATTACTTCGGTACCTTGGGGTAAGATGCCCCCTGTCCTGATGGGGAAAGACGCCCCCCTAAATCCGTAGGCTGTCCTTCAAACAGCCCGTTAAATCATTTATTACATACTTGTGATGTAGACAAAAGCCGATCTGGGACTATTGAGAGTCCAGTACGGTCGGGTGCTCCCCATGCCGGTCTCTCGGCCCACACAGCGACTTTTTGGGCGGCATCTGACTCTGAGAGCCCTTACGACGGCCTCTGTAGGCCCCATTATTGGCTCCAGGGCCCCTCACGACATCCTTTGAGGGCTCCCACGTTGGCCCCACAGGCCGCGCTGGCATCGGAGGTCCTCACGATGGGCTCGAGGGCCCTCAAGCATCATGAAGACCTATAAGAGCCCCACAGTGGTCTCCGAACGCCACCACGGAGGCTTGTTTGGCCGCGCTGGACTATGATGGCCCTAACGATGACCTCTGAAGCCCCTTACGACTACTTTTGAGGGCCCTTATGATGACGTTTGGTGTCTACTGCAGGCTCGAAGGGACTACTGATTCGTTCAGGCGATTCACGTGCCCATTTATGTCACTTATAGTGCAGGGGGCATCTTTCCCAACGTCAGGGGGGTCTTTCCCACCCTGTGGGGTAAGATGCCCCCTTTCACTTCTTCAGGAAAATGCTTAATAGCAAAAAAAAGTTATAATATTTCAGGCACGAAAGTGTGATATTTTTGGAGAAAAATGATGTCGGCTTCCGTTGAAACTCCAAGTTTTTGCTTTCCCATCGTCATTTTCGAATAATATATGACATAGTAAAACCCTGGGCATCTTTCCCCACTCTCCCCTACGTCTACGACACGAATCGACTGATATGCATCATGATCTTTCCGTCCAGCATGACCTTTACCTCAAGCTTACTTTTCAGGTTGACTTTTGTAGGTCAAATAAGTGCTCCTTTGACTTGCTTCGATGCGAGCTATACGATACCGGTAAAACCATTATAATGCAATAGCCAATAACTGTTGATCCAAAGTTATTAATTTTTTTTCACAAAAACGTGAGTTTTCACGGCTTTTACGCATCATTACTAGGCTACACTGTTCGACCTTTGGTAAGAGCTGATTATTCCTTAGCGAAAGAGCTTTGAAAGAGCTGTGGAATATTTTCCGTAATATTGTTACCCAACAATATCACTTAATCGCTAGCCTAGTTATGAGAAAATATTTTACCCTTGGTTCCAGATATTTTCTGTGAATTTTTTTCTTTCCAGTTCATTTTCACTGTCTCTAGCCTTCATCCTCACCTTCGCCAAAATGACATATTCGCCTATTATTCAGGTCAGGAAAAGCACAAATACAATTTTCGAAGCCCGGTCGGCGCCACACATCTGTTGAATACAGTCAGTAGGTGCAAATGGGCCCAGTTCCCCGTTGGTGGACTGTCTCTATATCACAGTTCCCCGGCGCGGAGGCACGGCCATAAGCCGCGGCTAACATCCCGCGCTCCGGCGAATGACAATGAGTGACTGCTTTCGCCGTCTCCGGCGCGGATTCCATCAGCATGCTACGCTGGTGGGCGGGCCGGTGGGCCATCCGAGTGCCTGCTCAGTGCTCACACCCCGGCTGCCGTCAGGGCACCCGAGAGGGGGAAGGGACGTGATAGAGGGGGCGTCATCGACATATTGTCTTATAAGATATCACACTGATGGCCCCATTCAGACTTGCTGCTTTATCACATAATCATGAACGCAGAGTGACCTTCTTTTATTCTATTGATCGTTAAGGTATTTCGACAAAGAGCGCCTACCTACAGGAATACGCCGCAACGTGGCGAACCGGTCCATGCGAGTGACAAACGTTAGCGTATAAACATTGTAGGTACTACACGATGCTGGGCAACAACGTAAGTTATATAACATTGGCGCGGCAAAATAAAATCATTTAGCTTCCTAGTGTAATCGTCAATCGATTAAATTTTAACTCAGGATATCACTTTATTCAATTCCTAGTGGTCTTTCTGGAGAAAGTACAGGTCACCACTAAAATAATGTGAGGTTTTATTGATAGGCAATCTCAATAGATGGCTTTGACAGACAATTTTTAAGAGAGAGAGAGAGAGAGAGAGAGAGAGAGAGAGAGAGAGAGAGAGAGAGAGAGAGAGAGAGAGAGAGAGAGAGAGAGAGAGAGAGAGAGAGAGAGAGAGAGAGAGAGAGAGAGAGTGTGCCACACTTTCAATTAAATTCGCTAGGAACAGCGGAGATCCCAAAAAGTAAACAAAAGTAAAAGTATGATATCTTGAAAATCGGTGAATATTTTTCGAAGAAATTTGGTAAAGTTTTCTAGAGTTTTCGCTCTAGTCTGATTCGAGCGACATTACTTTCATGTCAATTCATTAACTTTTTTGAAAGTGGGAGGCTCTCTTTAACTCGTTTTTGAGTCTTGCACAGTAAATAAGCATTAAGCTATCATTGTAGTTATGGTTTTTGTCTCAGTCACGAACCCCTGACTCCACTTCACAGTTCTTGGCCCAGCCCATCCACAGCCCATCGATCCTTCGTATTTAAGGGCCCAGCCCAGCCCGTATGTCCAGCCCAGCCCATGGCCCATTGGGCTGGCCCAATGGCGAACACTGGAACAAATCGGCCTCATGGGACGTTACGTGAAGTCCAATAGACCCCACAGAGTCGCAATGGGTGATCTGTGACGGGGCCAACTTCGAATGTAGTTTGCCTCAAGGGTCGTCAGAGGGCAGTCGATGGTTGACATTGACCCGTCGATAAATTCGCCGGCCCTCTGGAGAAATGCGTGTTCGGTCACTGTTTGTTTCCAACGCTTGCAAATGTCGTCCGAGTGGTCTGATACACGAATTAGACGAGAGAGTTGACTGAATAATGCAGGCCGGGTCCGCTATCGAGCAACGCATAGAGAACAAACGCAACGGCCATATGCGCTCACCACATCGTTCCCACTAGCCACCACATGCTTCAGTCAGAGTGGCATCCGACTGGCGTGAAAAGCTAGCGATCATTCTTCCTGACCAAATTGAAACAATCAGGGAAGGAAGGTACCATCGGACAGACCTGACTCAGTGATGTGACGACTGACGTATTACACGTTGTCTTTCCAAATTGACCAAAAAAAACTTTGTATAAAGATAACATAAAACTTTGTTTTTTATACAATGCAAGAACGACAAAGGATTGTCTTCACGAGCATTTCAATTCTGGTCGACATCAGCGCATTACTCGCATTTTATTCAGAATCCGAACACAACGCTCAATTACCTAAATCAACAAACCATCTGTCCGACATTATGACTTTTGACTCAGTTTGATTTAACTCTTCCTGCAGCCGCGGGGCCATCCGTTCCCTGTCGGTTTGTTAGCGATTGCTCGGGAAGCGTTGGTGATACGCCGGTGCTGAAAACTGGCATAGCTTACCTTAGATCAAGGCTCCTAAGATTGAAGCCAGATTTGTGACACAGGCTGAATTTTCAGGTTAGGTCAGGTCGCTGCCGTATGATAATTGATGTCATTTAGGTTAACCTCCACGGTCCTCGGAATGCCTGCACGATTCAGGGAATCTTTCGTAGGGAGATAAAAAATTTCAGGACCTATAGTAAATATTCGAGACTCTCAAGTAAATTTTCGCGTTTTTTTCCCTCAAAAGTCACCTAAGGTCATGTAAGGCCTCGTGACCTTGTAGCGGGGTGTTGGGCTACTGATCAGTGTGTGTGCGAGGCTGGTCATTCACTGGCGGGCACATAGACTGCTACCCACAGTACAGCGGCATGGGTCACAGGGTTGGTGGGTATTCACGGTGGGATATTAAAAGGTTGCCTGATGTTTCACTCTGACTGCGCTCCTCCTGTTTTACTCTAAACGAATTCTAAAAAATGTCTATCAATCAATGTTCCAGCTAAATCTCACACTTGTGCGTCTATTGTTCTTAAGTCATCCCCTGAGTTGAGGGTGCCTCCTCCCACTGGATATAACTCATTCACGCTTTCACCATTAATTCTTCATTCACACGGCCACTCATTCATTCTTCCATGCATCGTAAAAATATTTCAGGTGGCAAACCTGTCCCTCCCCCGTTCACCTACAATCCCCTAGTGGTACCCAGGTTCGGATTGATGAAACAATACACGTAATTATCTCTCCCCCTAAAAAAAAAACAGATTCATGACAGGAACTTTCTTTCGACGTATCAGAACATGCAATGGGTTTAAAAATGGTTCGTTTAAATTTCCTAGGGTTTGTTCCTTTACTATGCTCCGTAAATCAGCCGAACGCTTCGTTATACTCGTAACACACGAATAGAATATTACGAACCACCTCATGCTTCGGCACTCGAGTTGAGTTGACCATGCCCAATGCCTACACAAAGAAAGGGAAAACGTCTCCGGCCCGCAGCCCCGAGACCAGGGCTCGCAGGAGACTCCTTAGTCCGGCTTTCCACGGGGGACTCATTAAATTTTGAAACCGGGTTGGGTTACTAAGGTCCGTCCGTGATACTAATGACCGCATCTCGCACCAGCCATAGTTCAGGGTTTCCGGGCCAAACCGGCGATCTAAACGGGTTAGCCTACGTCGGCTATCTATCAAGACGACACTCGTCTTCCACGCACGCAGGTCCTCTCGGGGACATCCTGCACTCGGCATCCATCATCGACTACCAGCACATAGGTGCCCAGAGCCCTATCTATCCGTGGCTGGTAGTTAAACTGTCGTCACAGACCTATTCGAAAGGACCAGAGCATGGCCGGAGCTACTCGACTGACTGCGGGTGGCCAGCACCGTCTGACTGCGATCACCCGACTCGAATACTCGGTATCTAATG